CCGATGGAAAGAGCAATTGCGTACTCTCTTGCTCAAAAGGTAAGTGTATCCAACTAACTCTGATTAAGTTCAGCTTTTGCAAAAAAATTTATCAAAGTAATAGATTTTGGTTAAAAATAATATTGATGTAACTTGATTTATGTTTAAATGTTTTTATTCTAAAAGTTAGTAGTGGAATTAATAGTTGTTACAACTCAATTGTTTTTGGACTAGAATGGATTTCTCAATGTAAAAACTAAATAGTTTTTCAAGGATGTAATAACAAAGTAGAAACTATGGTACTTATTCCTTTTCTTGCTTTAGAAAGATGTTCAAAATTCTTGATATGTATGGGTATGTATATTTCCAGCAATGCAGATCAACACCAAGCTCCAATTCAAGAACAAATGCCTATTTTTCCTCTCTGAAGAGTAATGAGATTAACAAAGCTAATTGGGGGTGGAGTTGGTTGGAGCGTTGGATGGCAGCCAAGCCTTGGGAGAGTAGATTGATGGAACAGTCTCAGAATGAAGGTTTAGATAAAACCCCACCTCCAAAGAAGTTTGTGGAATCCTTTGTGAGCTCTAATTCCAAAACATGCTTGGTCAAAGTCAAGAAGAATAACATTACAACAAGGGTTTCTGCTAGGCCTCCCCATGTTGTTGGCCATGCTACTCGTTCATCCTCAAGTCCAAGTTCTGAGTTTAGGTATGATGAGAGTTCTGCATCATCCTCCATGTGTACTTCTACCACCCCAATGTCTGGGAACACTTGTGACAGGACTGAGGATGGTGGTGGCAATGCTAGGCCTAGTTACATGAACCTTACTCAATCCACAAAGGCAAAGCAAAAGACAAGTAATCATGTGTATAATAGAGCTCAGAGGCAGCAGTCTATGGATGAGTTTCAATTTCTCAAGAGGACAGCGGTTTTCTCTAATGGAGATTCCAAAAGCACTGCTGGTTCTGACCCTTCAATAAACTTTTCTAGGCCACTTCACTTGGACAAGAGCTCAGTGATGGCACGGTGAAATGGAAATGGATCAGCTTACATGGAGTGATGTGAATGTGGTGGAAGCTCAACATCTTTCTGTATTTATTATTTTTTTTTCTTCCAAGAAGTGCAACATCTTGTTGTTTGAGTTAGCTAGCTAGAAGTAGCTTATTATGTGTTTGATAATACTTGTGAGGGCTCTCCATTTGTATAATTGTTCATTTGTCGATGCTAAATCACCAACTTAAGCAAGACTAAAGTACATGGGGAAACACCCTTTTGTCAACACATTTAGAAGGATTTTCTCATCTAATTTTCTGAATTTTTTTTCTCACAGATCATAATGCCATTCGTAATCTTGTAGAAAGTGTCCAACAGATATTTATTAAAATATGGGATTCCTGATAATATATCTTTTATAAACTTACATTCTATATTTGAGATATGCTAACAACACATTCTTTTGTATTCTTTTAAACACTACCATTATTGGCTGAAATTCTATGTAATACCACAATTACTTTTTTTTTTAGCACACTTAATATTTGTAAGATAATACATATAATTGATCTTCTGAAGTCTGGAGACTGTAGTAGTATGAGCAATATCTTAACCGTTTGCTTAGCATCTCTGTGTTCTTTTGATGGCTCTGAGCTTGACCCCATGCTTGAAATTCAGGACTATCCCATACTCGAGTTCTAAGGGGTTTTCCATGTTGGGTGAATGGCGGAACAAGTATTTCCGATATAAATGAATCAGAGAAAGCTTGATCTCTTGTAGGGAA